ACATACATACATACACATACATGTACATAGTGAGATAAACAAATCTTGCAAGTTTACCAGACGAATAGTCTAAGGTAGGGGTAGGGAAACTTGGCTCTTTTATCACTTATGGACTTCAATTCCCAGAATTCCTGATATGTCCTACATTTGTATATTAAATAGTCCCATTCAAATCAAAAATTGATTTCCCTCACAACTGAAAAACCAGTAGGCCAGGGATGGGGAACCTTTTATGGCTCACTCAGGAATTCTGGGAGTTGAAGTCCATAAGTGATAAAAGAGCCAAGTTTCCCTACCCCTGACCTAGGGCAGGGGTCTCCAACCGTGGCAACTTTAAGCAAAGCTGGCTGGGGAATTCTGGGAGTGGAAGTCCACCAGGTTTAAGGTTGCCAAGGTTGGAGACCCCTGGCCTAGGGATAAAGCTGATGCAGAATCTATAACCTCCTTCCAGAGGGAAACGACATAAACACTGTAAAGTGGGTCTCTAACAGTGCTGTGAGCTCTAAGGACATAGAGCTTTTAAGCAACTTCCTGAATGAAAGGAAGTGAGCTTTTGACTTCATCCAGCCCTGTTTAGCCAGGTCAGCCTTAGTGCTACTACCTGTAAGCCTAATGTGACGATGCAAAGATTCCTTCACAATTTAGGAAGAAGCCAGTCCCGTCCACCTGGAATGTTTCTTTTTCCTCTGCCGTATTTTGCAGAGCCTGGGCCTGCTCCCAAAACAATCCATTTCCCTTTCCCCCCAGTGTTTATGCTGCCTTCTATGCCCAGAGCTCTCCTGCCCTGCCCAAAGATTCTCCTCTCTTTTTACAGTTTTCAAAGAAGATTCCCAGAAAACCTTCCTGGTGGGAAAGAAGCTGGACCAGCTGGGGCTGCCTCAAACCTTACAGCAGGAGTTCTCTCTGATCAACGTGCAAATCCGCAACGTAAATATGGAGGTGAGAAAAACAACTTTCATCTGGTTCCTGGATAGAACACAGGATTTTGGAATTGCCTATTAATTCCTGGAGATCGCTCGCCTTCGTCCTTCTCTTTCCTGTTTTTCTTTCGTTGTGGCTGTCGTCCAGCCACCCTCCCTTAGGGATGCGCAAAACCTGTTCTGATTGGCAACCTTGGGAGAGGTGCTGTCCTTGGTGCTCTCTGAGCTTGGTGTTTTTTTTCTTGCAGGCGTTTCATTGCCCAACAAGGGAACAAGATCAGCACTTGAAGAGAGTGGGGTTTACTTTCTGTTTATATACAACAGACTTGTCCCATCAGTGTTGGTGGGAGTGTTCTTGGTAGTTTTTTGACTGGTCTCTTGTTTACTGTTTGATTGTCTGAGTTGGTGGTTCCTTCACTGGGGTATTTGATTTGCTTCTTGATCGTTGGTCTAATATTAATCTTGGTGTTACTCTTACAAGATTAACGGAGGGCAAAGCCCACTCCCTTTTAGCACTGAAGATGTTACCAGACTGGATAAGGAAAAGTCTGCAAACAAACCACCAAGCTGCGAGAACATCAAGGCACTACACCAAGGCTCTTCAAACTTGGCAATTTTAAGACTTGTGGACTTCAATTCCCAGAATTCTTGAGCTAACATGACTAGAGGAGGAATTCTGGGAGTTGAAGTCCACAAGTCTTAAAGCAGTCAAGTTTGAAGACCCCTGCACTACACCAAAAGATATTTTCCTTTCTTTTTTATTTGTTTATTTTTTAAATTTTAATTATAAGAATACAACACGGTGTAGCCGTTCCGGCATTACAATCGTTATACACATTTTACTTTACTATTTACAATCCTCTTGTTTGATACATTGTTTACTAATTATTCTGATCATCGTAGCTACTTATGTTCCAACCTTGCCTTTTTCTATGCAACCACGGATAGAATTTATTCCACGTTTCATAGTACTCAGATTCCCCCCTTGTTTTTTTAATTCTAGGCTTAACCTGTCCGATTCTGCACAGGCCATAATTTTCCTTATTATCTCTGTATCTGGCGGTATGCTTTCCTTCTTCCAGTATTGCGCATATATTATTCCAGCTGCCGTCAACACAAGTACTCTTTCTGGTATTATTCCTAGGAGAAAAAATGCCAGCTTAAATGGAATACACTCTCCCACCATTTGTTCCACCCATGTCTGGATCAGCCTCCAATACTTTTTTGCAGCATTGCAGGTCCACCACATGTGAAAAAATGTGCCTGATACATCTTTGCACTTCCAACAATTTGGAGATAGATATTTCCTTCCTTAAAGGCATCTCTGACTTCATCCTTCCAGATAACCTCTCGTCTCCTTACCTTCGTATAGGATCAGGTTGCCCTACCAGGAGCACCTTTGCTCTCCTCTTCCAGCCACCGACCCTTGTAAGGAAATGCCAGCAGAAGGCAGGGTGAACCCGATGTTAGCCTCTCCTAACATTTCTTTCCCGCTTGGCTCTGGCAGATGGACGCGGTCAATAGGAACTGCACGGTCTCAGTGCACCTCAGCAACCACAGGGTGAAGATGCTGGTGATGTTCCCTGCACAGTATCCTAACAACGCTGCCCCCTCCTTCCAGTTTGTCAACCAGACCACAATCCCTTCCACCATGAAGGCCAAGTTGTTGA